TAAACAGTAAAGCACACAAAGAAAGTGCATTTGTTATTTAAAACTAACAACCTCATGAAGGTTTTTAGAAACTGTCATATAGGTGGACTCCTCACTGCATGGAAAGTTACAAATTGGGGATTCGATAAGAAGTGGTTCTTATTGAAAAGGAGAGTCCGGGTGAGGTGAATGGGCATGAAGGACTTGGCAACCACCCATGTGACTCCGTTTTAGTGGTAGGTACAAGGGCAGAACTCTCTTCTGATAATAAGAAAAGCAAACCTTGGTGGAGACAAAGGATGCAAAATCTCTAAACCTAGAGCAAGAGCGAGCTGTGGTGCTGGGAGCATCAGGAGTGTTTTGGCTGGGGTGCCCCCAGAAGCAGAGCCTAAGACAAGGACTGGGATGCCTATTGGTCATCGCTAGAAATGGGTGTGTGAGAGGGGAGACCATGAGGAAGGACTGGGACAAATCCAAAGAATGTGCTATTAGGGTTCATCAGGTCCCTGGTGTTGAAGATGGGCCCTTTGAGAAGCAGGCCCAGGGCCTTTCAGGAGGCCTGTCCAAAGGACACGCAGCTGGAATACTTGTCCACAGGATCCTGCCCCCTGTTAGGTGAGGGCTGCCCCTGAGGGGGTGAACTCCCCCCCATTTCCACAATTAGCGTAAGAAAGCATACTGAGCAGCCTTCTGCCATTCTGGAAAAGGCTCTGAGGCAGAAATGAGGGAGATTTGGGAAATGTTCTGGAGGCCTGGGCCTGGAGGAACTGTCCGCTCATGGAAGCTGTGGCTGAAAGTAGCTGGGGGCACAGGGGATGGGAAACAGGCCTTTCAAATGTCTGTGCTACAAACAGTCCTCCCTGACAACAAGCATCCAGACTGTGAAAATTGTTACGGACTGAGTGTGTGTGCCTCCCCAAAACTCACATGCTGCCATCACAACCCCAAATGTGACAGCATTAGGAGGTGTGCCTTTGGGAGGGGATTAGGTCCCTAGGGTGGAGCCCTCGTGAATGAGATCTGTGCCCTTCCATGGAGCTAAAGGGGCACGTGCCCTGCTCCCCACCAGGTGGGCAACCCTAGCAGGGGCTGCGGCATAATCTGGCCACGCTGGCACCCTGATCTCAGACTTCCGTTCTGGAGCTATGAGCATTTCCTCTTGTTTATAAACCACACCGTTTATGGTACTTTGCTATAGCAGCCTGAACTGATGCCGGCCCCAAAGATAAAGCTGATGTTCTGTAAGTTTTAGCTTAGCTTCTCTCATGGCAACTAGATTACTGTCAACAAACTTAAGTGAAATAAAATAGAAATGTGAGAAATAGACTCTTTCCTTCCCAGAAGCCCCTACCACAATCAGAATGATAAGGGTTTCAAACTCAGCTCCCTATATAGTCAAAATATTGCCATGAAAGGACAGATGTGGCTTGGCCAAGATAATGTATTCTCATTGCATCACTCATTTCTCTACCCCTGTAACCACCACACACTTCAGTCAGAGCTTGATCAGCGTAGGGAAGCCAGACCCCTCTGAAGGCTCCATTATATTAGTCAGGCAGAAATTATGATACTGGAAATGACAAGTCACAGCTTGCCCTGGGAACCTTATGGGGGAAATTAAGCTCAGCATTAATGAGTTAAAAAGCCTTTGGTTTCTATTTGAAAGCAGCAAGCAGGTTGGCCTAAAGTAAAGTGACTCGCAAATGATTACTCATAATTTATAAGTAACTAAATGATCCAGTCAATGCGTGGTCGCAATATCTACCCAATCAGAGCACTACCTAGGGTTGCCAGATAAAATGCAAACATTGCACGGACATAATTATACTGAAAAAAAATTATTCATTATTTATCAGAAATTCAAATTTGACTAGGAATGCTTCCTTTGTAATGGCTAAAACTGGCAATTCTAGTGCCACCTCCAAACAGGTACAATGAATGAGCAGCTTATTAAAACAAGCCAGTAATAAATGTTCTGGAATATTGTGCTAAAAGTTCTAGGACTTTTAAGTAGCAACAATATTTCAATAAATTAACGTGTGAATGAACTAACGATTTACATATTGTTTCCTTGGGCACATTTCTAAAAACTTTTCAAAGCACTTCAAAAATTTATTTTGTCACAACATGGCAATTTGTGTATAGAAAAAACAACAACACTATGATGATAAACAGAGAAACTCATTTCAAATGAGCTTGCAAAAGACTCCCATGCACTTGTTAAGAGACAAATACACATACTTTCAAATGTTTTCATTTGGTTCACTTAAATAAACTCTTATAAAAAAATTTAAATCAACTTCTAACCCCCGGCACAGTTCTGTAGAATTCCCCTCTGAGGAAAAACATCGAAAAACCACACACAGAGCCACTCCATTTTAGTTGCAAGAGTCCTGTTCCAGCTCACCTTCCAAAACAACTCAGTCAAGTAGAAATCTTCTGACAATCCCCACTTAGAATGGCAAATAACCCCTGCCTTTTCATTCATTCACTCATTACCCCTCTAAAAAGAGAATGTGCAGTTACCAGAATTTTAGACCATTAGTGCTCCGAGAGTGTTTTAAATGCAAACCTATAAGGGGAAAGTAAAAACAAATCAAAGTTAATTGTGACTGGCTGGAACAAAATGCTTAAATCGATAGGAGGACGGCTCATCTGCTCATCATTTACCCATTACCTGGGAGACCAATACCTCCTGCTGGGCCTGAGTTTTGATACAGATATTGCTGTTGCCTGTGCTCTTCAGACACACAGTGAGGAGGCCCAGCCCTCCCTCTCTGACTCCCTCTCTCATTATCCTCTGCACCTAATAAGCTATTCACTTACTCACACTTATTTCTTTCTGGTTGTTTGTCCTTTCTGAGGGGGCGTGGAGGGGAGCAGGAAAGGGGGTCATGTATGCAAGGCACACTACAGAGCTATGAACTTTATTACTACGTAGCTCAGGGCTCTCCTGCAAAGCAGTCAGAGGAGGCACCCGTATCTGTCTTTGAGTCACTATCTTCTTTCAATGGGGTCCCCCACTGACGACTGATTTTTCAGAATCTCCTGAAGTAAGCTACCCCTCCTTTCACAATGGACCCCTTGAAATAACATCTTGTTGTTGAAGAGAAATAAAGCCCTCTAATTTGGAAGTAGTGAGTGTCCCCAGGCACCGTGTCCAGGTGAAGGCCCCGGGGAACGGCAATGGGCTTTGGAAAGCCGTGCATGTTCTTAACTCTCGTCAATCAAGGCTGTAGAGTTAGGATAAAGTGCAGCTCATTCCTAACCCTCTGCTGCCCCTCCACAAATGCCCTTCCCCGTAGCCAGCATCTGCCAAATGGAATGCAAAATGGAACCTGCCATGGAAGGTTCGTATGCATCTCTGAATCAGATACCCACACAGCGAGTTTAAATGTCTGTCCAGCTGGGACCGGTTTGGCTCAATGGATAGAGCGTCGGCTTGGGGACTGAAGGGACCCGGGTTCGATTCCGGTCAAGGGCATGTACCTTGGTTGCGGGCATATCCCCAGTAGGGGGTGTGCAAGAGGCAGCTGATCGATTACTCTCTCTCATCGATGTTTCTAACTCTATCTCTCTCTCTTCCTCTCTATACAAAATCAATAAAATATATTAACAAAAAAAAAAAAAAAGAGTATCCTTCACAGAGTTAAAAAAAAAAAAAAAAAAAGTCTGTCCAGACAGGATGACTGTGTGGAGACAATACCTCTTTGTTTTTTTTGTTTTTTGTTTTTTGTTTTTTGTTTTTTATCCAAATGACAATCTTGCAACCACTAGTAATTACACATTACTGTTATTTTTAACTAGAGGCCCATTGCAGGAAGATTCCTGCAAGAATAGGGCTTCCTACGGCAGTCTCTGCCATCCTGCCTGCTTCTCTCCCTTCTCCGCTGCCCCGCTTGCTTGCTTCTCCAAAGTTTTGCTCCCTTCTGCAGCACTTGGCTTCTTGCTACACTGTCTTCAGTCTTTGTTCTGTGCCTGGATATGCAAATTAACAGCCATCTTTGTTGGGTAAATTTGCATACTCGCTCCTGATTGGCTGGTGGGTATGGTCAATTTGCATGTTTCTCTTTTATTAGATAGTATAATTTCCATGGCAGGGTGGGGAAAGGACCTAATTTTTCTTATTCTATTTCACAATTAAATGGATGTTATGCAATTGTTATCACCATATTTTTACTGGTAATTATCCTCTTTTAGTGTTCTAGCTATTTTTTTTTTTAACTAGTGTATGCAGAATACCTGATGGAAAAGTAGAGAGATGACCACATGTGTATGGCTGCACATCATGGACTACACCTGCATTAATTTTAGTATACATAGCAGTTTTATTCATAATAATTGGAAAGAACTTATCCAACTGCACCCAAAATAGCTAAATCTGCAAAGGTTAGAAATACAGTTCCCACTTTAAAATTGGAATGTAAATAAATGGAAAAACTTAGGAGCACACTGATACAGTGGGGGAGAAATAGCACAGTGCACAGGATGGACTAGAGGAAAATTGTGATAATGTACAAAAGGGAAAAGAATAAGATGCATCTGATAGCCAGCTTTAGCCCTTTCCATTGACTGTTGGCGTGTTTTCCACCTACCGCTTCCTCAATGCATCCTTTTTATTTTATTTTTTTATTTTTTAGGAAAGTTCATTCATAACCAATAACAATGTGATAATGATAGTAAGTGTAGGATTTAAGATCCTTTTTTTTTTTTAAAGCACCTTTAACAAACAATCAAAAAGCCACCAAGGGGTGGGAGGGAGGTAGTTACCTAGCTCAAGGTTTTATTTAGTGACAGTTCCACTTTTTCACTCACCGCCTGCAAATCAGCATTTTTAGTGGACAAAGGGCTCAGCAGCGGCCTTATGATTGCTTCTTTTCAAATGGTAATGGCTATCCTAACTCCTCTGCCAGGTTTTTCTAACCAGAGCACAAATTGCAGTTTACAAGGCTTGGAGGGGGGGAAAAAAACCTTAGCTGAATATCTTTTTTTTTTATTCGACAAACTGACATGTAAATTACCCTTTAAGTGCTCCACTCTAGGGCTCTGATCATCTCCTAATTGTCACAGTCAATTGTAGCCAACAGTCTCTTCAATCCCAAGCGCTTTGACAACAAGCACAAGGATCAAAGCCGAATCAGCTCCCTTCAATATCCTTCTGTTTAGGATGCTACAAAACGCCTGAAAGAGAAAGGTGTAAGGGCATTGCTGTAGAGGAAACTGAGAGTAGCAAGTATTACAATAGTCATTTTCTCCATCTCTAAAATTATGCTGTAGAAGCTGCCTGGTCTCTAATCACATGTGCAGAGCAAACATATAAACCTCCCAAGCAATTAATATGCTCTTAAGACCAGCCTGATGTGTGAGTTTTACAAACAGCAGCGTCTCCATGGCTTAGGAAAACTATGCCAGTTATGGGATAGCCATCGTTTCATAGCAGCTTGAGCATCAAAAACTATTATTCAAGCATATTCTATATTTAGAGCATCAATTCCCAAGCATACTTTTTTATTATTTAGTTTGGTGCCATGATTCACTGCTTCCCCAAACTAAATAGCCCGTCGAAAGAGGGTTTTTTATTATTATTATTAACCTGGAGATGTCCAACTGAAAATGTGCCCCCAAATAAATAAGAAATGTAACATGAAAACTAATTTCAGAAAAACACTGTTTCCCTACCTAGAGGTAACTGTCTTATTGCTTTACTGGGAGCAAACTAATTAAAAGTCATTACATGATCTACAAACACGATTCCTAAATAAGATGTACTTATTGGAATCATTACTTAACAAAATATGACAATTCTTTCAAACTGAAGTAGTTATCATACATCACTATCTTCTTTGAGAGATTATTTATGCTTTTCTCAATAGATAATAAATTTATTCTATCAAACACAGCAATATAAATAATTTAATTTGGTGGAAAGAGAAACTTTAATAATAAATCTGTATAAAACAGCCACTTTAAAAATAACCCAAAGGTTGTCAGGGAGAGGGAGAAAAAAAAAAAATCAAATGGAGAGAAATCAAAGGGTCATGTGACACCCCCTCTATAGCTAGTCTCATTGTATCCAGGTATTACATGCAGCGTGTAAGGTCACAAGTTGATTGACAGCCTTCCTATGCTGGAGAAAAGAACTGAAGGGGGGGAAAAAAAGAGGCAGCACGTACCCCAGGTTCCTTTCTCAGCCAGTTCACTCAAATTCCCCTCTCGGGGTTTCCCATCCTCCCCTCAATTTCACCTTGAATTCTCAGGTTTGATTGAAGAGCTCCACGGAAGGGTCTATTACAGATTGAGGAGTGATCCATTTTACATCTGAAGCTACTTGTGAGGGGCCTTTGAGTGCATTTATCTCACATGTGAAGCTTTCTGCAAAATCAATATGGGCATTTTTCAGTTTGACAAGTCAACATGAAATGTCACATAATAATAGGAAAACAGAGTTGTACATTTAAACATACCCAGTACAGTTATCTACGACCAAGCGTATATAGTTATGTCTCGTGGATATCCTTGAGTATGCCTAATCTAGATGTGTCCTGAGAGCCGGGCTAAAGTGCAGAGAGAGAGAAACGGATTCCTCACCATGGTCCTGGCTCCTCCTCTGTCCTAACTGACCCAGGGTTTGTGGTGCAGGGAGGGAATGGGCAGGAATCACGGCCTCTGTTCCCAACCTGAGAGTGATATGAGAAGTGGGAAGAAAATAACCAGAGGTGAAAAAGAGGAAGGAAACAGACCAAAGAACTATAAAAAAACTTCAAATTTAACTAATGGGCAATAACTGAACAAAATGGTAACCCAAAGAACAGCAACTAGGTCTCAAATCCCCTTACCACCATAGCCAGCACTGGCTGAAGAATTGGCATATTTGCTTCAGTGTCTGACTATCTTTGGCTGAATTCCAGGTCTATTTTACCATCTGCATAAGTTTGAGGAAGATCATTTAACTTCTCTAAATCTCTGGTTGTTGTTTTTTTTGGTTTTTGGTTTGTTTGTGTGTTTTTTCTCTCAAAATGATATTAATCTGATTTACCTTATAAGGTTTTGTAAAGATTAAACAAGATAATGCACATAGCATCTGGCCCATGGAAAACATTCAACTATTGGTAAATATTGATGAAATTAGTATACTTTCCTTTAACCTAACTACAGGTCCCTGGAGTTCTAATTAGGTGCCATCTCTACTGTTCCCTGTAGCCTTTCCACGTTGTTTAATGTCCCCAAGTTGTAGATGACAGTTCTCAGAGGGTGTGCCCACCGTATTAATACTGATGTAGGTCCCCGTAGAGGAGAGCAGACACCCATGTTCTGTTGTCTTAAAAACAGTCTTCCTCCAACCAGGAACTGTCCCCACCAACCAAGAGAGGGAGAGAGAATCAAATAGGGTTTTGAGAAAGGAAAAGGACCCAGGTCTAGAGACCAAATCAGCTGGTCAATTCAAACAATAGATGAGGTAGAAAAATGTAGCATGCGGTGTTTCTTCATATGCCAATGTGTTATCATTGAACCTGGAGTTATCACTGTATACTCCCCCACAGGAAGGGCCTTCAAGAAAAATGACTCTCAGGAGCATAATGACAGCTCAGATTTAGTTAAATAGCTCACTGCAGTTGCATCTTCCTTTTCCATTCCATTTTCCTCAGGTCCATCACCACCCAAGTAGCATTAACACCATCTGTACTTGATTATTTGTGTTTGGATCAACTAATTTGTAGATTGTTTACAACATATTTTAAATTTTAGATGAACTCTTACCACCACTCACAACAAGCCCAGAGTAGGTAAAACATCTGATTGTGAGTTTAGAGACATGAAAATTCATGTGAATATCAAAATAAGAAAAGCATCATTATTTAAAATGCAACTGAAGTTTAAAAACTCTTATCCTATATTTCAAAGTCAAATAACTAAATATAAATGACTTTATATTTAGTACATGCAGTATTGTTCATTTTTTAGCTACCCTACCATTCTCCATTATTAAAATTAAGCTATAACTTTCATTCCAAAACCAAATTAAAATATTTTATTAAATCCCCATATAGAATTACAAGAACAAATTGAAATAATTTCCTACTTAAAAAGGGCATTTCCTTGAAATTTTTAATTTATTTGTTTTGGACTCAAAATACGTTTTTAGCGAGGAAACAAGTTTGTAAATGATAATTAAGTTCCCAGATTGACACATAAAAACCTGTTTAATAAAATGTACCTGAAAAAGAAATGCTAGAACCATGTCTTTAAGTGACCCTAGGTAATATAATCTACAAATTTAACCCTGTAGTGGTTTACAAAGTATCATCAAACCTTGAGTTTTTAAATTTTGAGACATCAGGCAAGAGATCTGATGGAAAGATGGAACATCCAGGAGTTGAGATGATCACTAGTCTCATCCTCGTTATCACATCAGCACCATCATTATCATTATTATCATGTTATATTTCACCCATCCTATTAGTTCATGGGAGCTGTGAAGATAATAATGGTAGGTAATAAGAAGATACCACATCGTCTTGACTTTTTAAAATAAGTGTTGTCAACTGCACCAAAGTGTCAGGACCTCACTCTCTCTGGCACTTAAACCTCTTCCATGATGTTCATTTCCCAACCAGGACCTGAGCATTCTAAAAATAATTTCTGTTAAGCAAAGGAAGGCTGTGAGATATCACTACCCACATTTCAACATCACCTCCTTCTGGATGTTGCCTTGTACTGTGGCCACACCAGACTTCTTAACATAGCTTTGAAAAGTCTAGGGAAGGAGTTTGTTAAGGATCTGTTACTATACCTCATGCTAGAAGTACCTCAATTAAATCACAATGTTGAGTTGAATATTTTCCTTTCTAATATCTCAATGGAAAATATTTCTCAATTTCTCTTGGTTATTTACATATTTCAAAAGTTATCTTCCTTCATCACCAGGGTTTTCTGCCTTATTCCATTTCTGGTTTTGATATTTATTGTATATCTTCTTACTCAAAACTAGGATCGATTCCTGCCTTCCAAGAAGGGCAGGTGTTCCATTAAAGTAGCATCCTTATAGTTCAACTAATAAAAACCCTATGAACACTGGACACTCCTCCCTCTAATGGTTCATACTTCCAAGTACACAGTACCCCACAGTTTCAATTCACCTAAATGACCTCTGACCTCATTAAATTATAATCACAAAACATATACATTCCCCACTTAAAAACTGAATTGGGGGGAGGAGAAAATGCAGAGTTATCCTTTAATGGGTCTAGAGTTTCAGTTTTGCAAGATGAAAAGTTTCTGGAGCTCTGTTGCACAAGAGTGTGAATATTCTAACCACTATGAAACCGTACACTTAAAATGGTTAAGATGGCAAATTTTATGCTATTTATTTTACCACAAATTTTTAAAAGTTTAAATAAAAATAATGTGGTGAAACTGCTTGGGAAAAACAAACAAACTAGTGCATCAATTCAATAATAAGTGAGTAATTATGTAACATCTTTTAAAAACTGAATTTAGGATATCCTGATTTTTGTATTAGGCAGCCAGAATCCTACATTTCAGTCCTAATTTCTTTTCTATGAAAATGCTGCCTGCAAAATTATCTATAAAGTGTTTAAATCCAAAGAGACTGACATATGACCTGACATAGAAGAAATTGCACATAAAAATGCAGGTCAAAACTAAATAAATCAATGAAACTAAGATTATAGAATTTCACTTCTCTTCTGAAAGATTCAGACAGTGAAACCCAAGAAAACCCCCACTCCCAGGTGCTCTGTTCTGAGGCCGTGGCTACCACACATGGTCACCATTTAGATTCTCAAAATTTCACTGAATTTTCAGTGGACCAAACACAAGTTGAAGCTCATTGAGATGAAAATACTTGAAGCCAAACCAGACTAGTTTTCAGTGGTTTCTCTGTTTCTGTAAGACTAGTTTCACAGTATTTTAACACTCACTTTCTTCAGGGTTAATTTTTTTTTTGAACATTTTACTCCGGTTAAATTTTTCAGTTTTTAAAAGTTCTTTTAGAAAGTAAAGTTGTTGTTTTCTTTCAGGATTCAGTGTCTTAATTCTCTTTTTGAACAAGTTCAGCAAATTTATATTTATTCCACACAAAGTTAGGAGACAAAAGTAGACAAAATAAGAGTGTGGAACAATGAAGGAAGTTTATGGAAGACACTTTTTTTAATTTCTAATCCCACCTCATACACAATGAATGAAATAATTAAATGTAAAGTAGATGGTTACCTTTAAAAAAAAAAAAAAAAAAGCTTCCAGAGATTAAAATTACAAAACAAAAATAAATAAATGCAGTGCCCTGATTTAAACAATTCATTAGAATTTTTTTCTCTCAATATGCATTCTAGGTCAATCATATGATCATCTAATGGTTTGTTTTTAACATTTATTCTTCATTCTTATAGTTTATTAGATTAAGGATAGCAAGTTCTTGAAATCCAGTGTGAATTTTAGGCTTGCAATAATATTAATAGCTTTAATAATAATACTTACCTATGACTAACACATCTTGGCATTTATATTATCTCCTTAGAACAACCATATGAGGTATCAATATCCCTCTGAGATATGAGGAAACTGAGGCTTTGAGAGATTAAATAACTTGGCCAAAACCACACACTAAAAATGTTGTGCTCTTAACCACAGGCTCCCTTGCATCTTGATGAACTGTTATGAGTGCAGCTTCATTTCAGCGTAGATTGTTCTTCTACATCATTTATTACAAACTCTTCCTTTATTTATCTTTTGATAAATGAGGTCCCTCTTGCTTTGGGGGTCTCCTATTGCCCAATAGTTCCTGAACAGAAACCAAATCTTGTACACAGACACTTGTTTTGACTGACTCCATGATTGAACCAAATGGGGTCATTGACCAACATGCCATTGACCACCAGCAGCAGGTCTCTTTGTTCTACTGCTTCCTCTTCAACTAGTCACCAAGCAACCAGGTTACAGACACTCGTTAGAGAAAGCAGCATCCATGATGACATGTATTTTGAAACCTACCTGAGTTCAGGACCATAATCCTTAGCAATTCAGGGTATTCCAGAAGACACTGCTTCCCTTGCAAATGCCACACTCAACACCAGTGAAGAACATAAATCCCAGTGCAAGGAGCCTGTTCATTTCCCTGCTTCAGACCGAATTCCTTTCCCTGAGACCTCTCTGGGCCAGGTAAGTATATTTATGCCATGAAGAGTGTGAACAGAGAGCCGTCTCACTCAGGGCCAGCCTTAGAACCCAAGAAAAGTAAAGCTAGAATCCTAAGGACTCTAGGTCCATGCCGTAAAATTACATATGAGAAAAATGTGGTTCAAAGAAGTAAAGTGATTTGTTGAAAGTCATAAGCTAATGATTGAATAAGAGATTTTAAACTCCAGGTTCAGTGTATTTTCCACTTACTAGTAGACTGTTTTGAACCAAAAGGCCTACTGTGTGTCACAGAAGATACTAGATAATTTACATATAATATTTCATATAATTCTCACAACCTTCACAAAAAAATTAATATAATTACTCTTCCTATAAATGAAACATATTAAGTAATTTAGCTAAACTCACGTTTTTAGAAAGTAGAAGCTGCAGGAATCAGTTATTAATACTTTATATTTAATACAAGGTCAAATTTTACCACCACCCTCCAAAAGAATAAATAAATGAATCCGAAAGGGATTATGACACTAGAAAGTGGTGGATTGATGTTAAGATTAGAGTAGAAAAGGGTATAAATTAAGGTGTGAGGAATAAAAAAAAAGCCTATAATGAAGGTATTTCATGAACACACTGGTCTTCATTTTCATTTCCTTCCACCCTACATTTCTCCCAAAGAATTTAACTTGGTTTATTTAAAGAAAAAAACACACACTTGATACAATAAGATGAACTAAATTGAAAATGAGCCTTAGGGAAAATACAGTGAAATTAAGGGAAACAAAATTGTTGCAAGGAAGTGTTATATACTTGATATAATACTTACGAGATATAATCTATAAATTCAAATCTGAGCCTCCAGACAGGCTATGTGAAAAGGGAAACGTTGCCATTACATCAATTGCAGTGTCCTCAAAACAAAGAACCACCCATTTGCCCAGGGGAGATACAATGATGCCTGGTTATGAGACCACAGAGAAACTTGTCGCTGTGGCCCTCCTTGAGAAGGCAAGGTATAGAGCAGGGAATGGTCACTTCAACAGCACCTCCCAGCACGCAGAGCACTGCACTGTGCGCAGTGCTGTTTGTGGTACCACCGTGATTAGCATCAGGCACCAGCTCTGCACTGCGCGGAATTCAGTCATGGCAGCTCTTTGACAAACTGGTTGTCTCCGGGAAAGAACAGGAGGAAGGTGAGGATTGTGCTGAATGCGAGTGATGCTGAGCCATGTGCAAGCTGAAACGCACTAATGCTAAGTCCTCTAACACCCTTTGCTACAACACCTGAACCATCTTCACCTGGGAGTAAGCCCCTTTACACCTACTTCATCTGATCTTCAAAGGATTCACGCTTTCTAACCTCTTCTGCTGCAGAGAAACAGATCGAAGCTTGCCGAAACCCATTTGGCTCAGTGGATAGAGCGTCGGCCTGCTGACTGAAGGGTCCCAAGATTATGATCAAGGGCATGTACCTTGATTGCGGGCACATTCCCAGTGGGAGGCTGTTGATCGATGCTTCTAACTCTCTATCCCTCTCCCTTCCTCTCTGTAAAAAATCAATAAAATATATTATAAAAAAAAAAAAAAAAA